TTCATTCTAATCGTGAATTCCTCCTTTAATCAACTCAATGGTTTCACCCTTACATTTCAGTATTGCACTATTATTACAGCATTAAGTAATAGGGTAGGAGAATCGATCAAACAATTACAGAAACTTTTCGTTTGAAGGGGAGAGACTGAATAAATAAGGAATAGCCTAGCGTCTCACCCTAATGAACCTTTTCCAGGAGTCTCTCTTCAACGAAAATCTTTGCAAACACCGTTGAGGGCTGGTGATTGATCGGTACCATCCGAGACGGCTTCCTTTCTACGAGGTCGTGTCCACTGGTATCACATGCTCAGATAGCGGTCAACTCGCTGATAACACGTCTGATGTTATTGCATGCTAAAAAACTCCCCACCGTTCAGAAGACCTTTTCCTTACGTCTTAACTTTTCTTTTGGGTAAGTTATGGCCTTAAATTCTTTCCAGAAATCATATTCTCATTTCAGTATTATAGAGTTCCTTTGAATGACGACGAAACAATCCACGTTCAAAATTCTTGTGATTGGTGATCCTGGCACAGGAAAAACTTCAATTATAAGGAGATTTGTACATGATGTATTCACTGCTAATTATAAAGCTACGGTAGCCCTATTATCCCGGTTCCTATCGTCAGATAGAAATATGATGAAAATTTTTTCGTTCAGATAGGAGTTGATTTTGCTATGAAGAAAATGATATTAGACGACGATATGCAAGTTTACCTCCAAATATGGGATATATCAGGTAAGCACTGCCATTTTACTTGTTGATAAATCAAGCAGAAGATGCTTCTCTTTTTTTACTCCCTTTTTGGCACTATCGCAATAAAGGTGGGGAGGGGTGGGGGTGGAATGTTTTGTGAACACAAAGGCCATTCCAAACTAGATTCTCTTTTAGCATGAACGCTTGAAGAAAGTAATACTTACCTAGTTTTTGTTTTTCTCAAAAGGAAGTCGATCATCACCCACTACGCTTTGGGCCAATTTCGGAGCTGTCTTAATTTTTGTATTCCGCAGTTAAATTTAATTTTTTATTTCTTATTTTTACAATTAAGTTTTAGTTGTATAAAGTTTTACAATTAGATTGAGAGAAGTGAAGTTTTACACGTTGTGGTTCGCACTTTTGAACCAGATGAAAATCATTCTCTTCGTTCGTATCATGGGAATAAAGGCAATTTTGTATCCAGTAGTGGGCTCAATCTTGGCGCTGTGGGCCAGTGTACGCCGGA